TTAAATGATGTAAAAATAGAACAGAAGTTATTTTGGTTTGGTTTTGGCCCAATTTAGAAGATTAGTTTTGTCTCAGGAAAAATACTTTTGTTTTTCCACGAAGAAAAAGTTAAGATTACATATGGCATATAGTAGGCTGAGTTAATTCCAGTTCCTTTTTACCTTCCATGGAAAAAGTTTCTAATCCTCAAAAAATCTATTTTCTATTCAAAGAGCCTGTTCCCAGCTTGCAGATGATTGGTAGCCCACTTGATTGGGGAATCAGGTGGTTCTTATTCAGAGGTTTAGATCTCTTCCAGTTGATTGTGTCCTTTTGTTCTCCTTTTCACAAATGACCTGACACTTTGGCACAGGATAAATTTTAAGTCCTGGTAAAAGTCATCACGTAAAGGAACTGGACCTTGTTTTTCTTTTAACAGATTGTAAAATGCTTACACTGTAATATGCAGCACTTTATTGATTACCTGCTGAAATATTGGTGGATAGATGGTTGTTTAATTCGGATTTTGTCACATTTCTGCTATGGTTTCTCAGCTTTGTCTCATTTTTTCATAGGTTTCATTTTTCAAGCAGGCTGTATTTTGTGGTTGCTTTTAAAAACATAATCCAGATGTGACAAACATTTATTTCCCCAATGAATACTAATTTATCTTTGTGCAAAATATTGTGGGCTACATAGATGTACAAAGTAGGATCCTTGCTTTCTGTCATGGGCACATTGTGTAATAGGGTAGATGATACCCACTCATGTAACTACAAACTACAATATCAGGTAGTATGTGAGTGTTAGGTGTTTCAGTGAGTTCTGTAGATATGCTGAAGCAAAAGTCATTATCTAAAAAAGTAGGTTTCTAGGATAGGTAGGATTTTGAACAGTCAGGGATTTGGGAAGTTGGTGGGACCATCATTCCAAGCAAAAAGAGGAATGTAAACCCCACTGTACCTGTGGTTGAGACAAGGATGTGTTTGGGAAATGCAAGTCTGGAGCATTGGTGTGTGTGTGTGTTAGGAGGAATATAATTCTAAAGCAAATTGGATCATTGCATACCAGGACAAAGGAATGTAGATTTTAGTTGATAGTAATCTCAGAGCCACTGAAGTATTTTGAGCAGAGGAATGAAAAAAGGCAATTTGGTGATGGCTTGTAGATGGATTTGGACAAGATGAATTTTTAGAGACAGACTAATTGGTTGGTGTCACTGAGAAGAGAGAGATAGAGGTGTTAGTAGAATCTGGCAACTAATTGGCAAAGTTGGAGGATGTGGGGTCAGTAGTACCATTAAGAGAATGCTAATGATACTTTTAACTGACATTGCAAATCACAAGGAAAAGTAGGTTCTGGTTTAAGGTGAGTTAGATTTCAGAACTTTTGATGTTTGTAGTTCTAATGTAGGAGTGGAACTAGGTGAATATTTGGATGTCACGCCTATACTTGAAACCTTGGATAATAATGTGTCTATTATAATCTCACTTAAAAATATGTGTTTTTGTCAGAGCTCAAAGAAAGATAGTGCCAAATGCACATGATCAGACTGTTCACGTTGATTACCTATTGAGTGGGGGAGGGGAGAAACCCTTTTAACATGTTTTGGCTTTCTGAATGTTACTTTTGTAATTTGAAAAATAATTAAAAGGGTTGACTGTTTGAAGAAATAGATTGAGCAACGTACAGGAAAAAGGGAACAGGAGGGCATTTCTGAAATCTGAAGGAAAGTATGTAGGGACAAAAAGGCTACATTTGGACCCTTGAAGAACGCTCAAATTTTAGGTGCAGGAAAAATAAGAGCTGCCATGAGTTTACAGTTTGAGGAAAAGGAGGAATTAGGTAGAAGTATAAAACTTAAACTTGATTTCCTAAAGACTTTAAAAAAAAAGAATTCTGAAAATAGGAACAAATAATTTCCATTTGGGTTATTTTTAACTTGTAATTTTTTGATGGAATTATTTGAAATATTTCTGATGATTATGAAATGATAAAGGACATTTTCAAGTTTTGAAATTTGTTTAAATGTACGTATCACTAGATTTGTCTTGAAGATAATTTAGTAATTTGGTGCCTGGACATACAGTGCTACTTGAATTATTTTGGAAATTACAAAATAAAGGATGAGATTTTAAAGAATAATTTAGTATGTTTGGTCTGTCCTCTTGAACTCTGACTTTACAAAACCTTTATTGGCCTTTAAGCCTAAGTTGTCTTGAGGCTTAATGTTCATAATTTTGCAAATGTTTATATTTCCTAATTAAAGGAAGAATATCATAACTAGTGGGAAAATTCTTAAAATATTTCATTCTAATGACTTTTTCTGTTTTTTTTAGGTATATTTGTATCCAGTATTGTTCTGATCTTGTCACAGCGATCACTTTTCAAGTTTTACATGTATAGCTCAGCATTTCTGTTAGCTGCAACTTCAGTGTCGGTGAATTATTATGCTGCTTTGCACATTGACTTCTATGGTGCCTACAACACGTCAGCTTTTGGAATTGAGCTGCTTCCTCGAAAAGGTCCCTCGCTATGGATGGCACTCATTGTTCTACAGCTTACACTTGGAATTGGATACATTACACTACTCCAGATTCATTCCATCTATTCACAATTAATTATTTTGGATCTCTTGGTTCCTATAATAGGCTTAATCACAGAGCTACCATTACATATCAGAGAGACTTTAGTTTTTACTTCTTCCTTGATTCTCACGTTAAATACAGTGCTTGTCTTGGCAGTGAAACTTAAGTGGTTTTATTATTCCACAAGATATGTTTATCTTTTAGTGAGGCACATGTATCGAATTTATGGATTACAGTTATTGATGGAGGACACATGGAAGAGGATTCGTTTCCCCGATATATTGCGAGTCTTTTGGCTAACAAGAATTACAGCTCAGGCTACAGTGTTAATGTACATTTTAAGGATGGCAAATGAAACTGATTCCTTCTTTATTTCTTGGGATGATTTCTGGGACCTCATTTGCAATCTTATAATTAGTGGATGTGATTCTACACTAACTGTACTGGGCATGAGTGCTGTAATTTCCTCAATAGCCCATTATTTGGGCCTTGGAATACTGGCCTTTATTGGATCAACTGAAGAAGATGACAGGCGGCTTGGCTTTGTTGCACCTGTTTTATTTTTTATTTTGGCTCTTCAGACTGGTTTAAGTGGGCTAAGACCAGAAGAGAGACTTATTCGCTTAAGTAGAAACATGTGCCTTTTATTAACTGCAGTCCTGCATTTCATCCATGGAATGACAGACCCTGTATTAATGTCTCTCAGTGCCTCTCATGTGTCATCTTTCCGTAGACATTTTCCTGTGCTTTTTGTTTCTGCTTGCCTGTTTATTCTTCCTGTTTTACTCAGTTATGTTCTTTGGCATCACTATGCACTAAATACTTGGTTGTTTGCAGTTACAGCCTTTTGTGTGGAACTCTGCTTAAAAGTAATTGTTTCTCTCACTGTTTATACATTATTCATGATTGATGGCTACTATAATGTCCTCTGGGAAAAGCTTGATGATTATGTCTACTATGTTCGTTCAACAGGCAATATTATTGAATTTATATTTGGAGTAGTAATGTTTGGAAATGGGGCTTATACTATGATGTTTGAGTCAGGAAGTAAAATTCGGGCTTGTATGATGTGTCTACATGCATATTTTAACATCTACTTACAAGCAAAAAATGGCTGGAAGACATTCATGAATCGTAGGACTGCCGTTAAAAAAATTAATTCTCTTCCTGAAATAAAAGGGAGCCGCTTACAAGAAATAGATGACGTGTGTGCAATCTGCTATCATGAGTTTACAACATCTGCTCGTATTACACCATGTAGTCATTATTTCCATGCACTTTGCCTTCGGAAATGGCTGTACATTCAAGATACTTGTCCAATGTGCCATCAAAAAGTGTGCATCAAAGATGATGTCAAGGATAATTCAAATATATCTAACAACAATGGATTTATTGCACCACCTGACGAACATCCAGAGGAAGCTATAAGAGAAGCTGCTGCTGAATCTGACAGGGAATTGAACGAAGATGACAGTACAGATTGTGATGATGATGTTCAAAGAGAAAGAAATGGAGTGATTCAGCACACAGGCCCAGCAGCTGAAGAATTTATTAATGATGATACTGACTGATTAAAATGGCATTTATTAATCATTGAGGTATTTGTTTAAAATTCAGTTCATCCAAAATGGAGTAGTATGCTTCACCTTCAGTGTGTAACCAGGCACAAAAACAGTTATCAATGTTGAATCTGTGAATGGTTTACTGTGATGTGCTACTGTAAATATACCTCTTTCATTACTTCTGGTCTCTTTGGTGACCTATTTAAATTTGTGTACATTATTGTACATAGAATAAAATGTTTTCACTTTTTTTGACAAAATTTGAACAAATAGCTTTTTAATAGATGTAATAATCATACAGTGCGTCAACTGTGCCAAAGATTCCTCAATGAAATTATATCATGTATCTAACTCTGGACCCTAGTTTTTCTTTAAAATGGGTGGGAGAATGAAAATACAAATCAGGAAACCACATTAAAGTCAAGGAAATAAGATAATTTGGATCAAAGGATAAAGGCTATAGATAAAGAGTACTTTAAAACTAAGGAAAAAATTAACCAGCCAGAGCAATTGAGAAATGTTTTTGAAATTGGAGTAGCAATGTAGTTGAGCTGGGTTCAAAAGGCATGATTCAGACTGCGTGAGAGTTAAGAAATAAACTTACATCAGCTAAACTTTGATATGAACCAGAATGTGCTACATGTTTAATTTTTATGTAAAATCAATATATTTGTTAGCCATTCTGTGTTTGCAGTGTTGTCATAAAATTGTCCTTTCAGATTTTTGAAGACATTACAAAATAAAAATAGTTGGGGGTTTTCATTGTTTTAAACTAAGGCATTAAATGATATTTAAAAAAATCCTGATCTGATTTTGTGGGAAAATAAGGGGAATGGTGTGTAGTGATACATAATACTTCTTTAGACAACGTCCCGAGAATTTCTTTATTGAAGCTATAAGAAAGTTTTATCATGAAATTTTACATACATGATAGAAAATAGAAGACACATACTGATTACATACCAGGAAAAAATACTTTAATAGTGTTGTTATATAGTGTATTGGCTAATTCCAGTGGATCCTCATCTCTTACTGCTGACATTATCTCCAGTATTTGACTGAAACAAAAAAAACCCAAAACGGATGGTTAAATTTCCAAGTATGTATGCTGTTTTAAGGGTATATAATAATCATCTTTTTCTACATAAAGGAAGATACTGTATTGGTACCTTTAATACACTAAGTAAAGCTTAACAGTTATTAAAAGTTTTCAGCAATATTAATACAAAAAATTAACTTATTACCAGTAGTAAGAGACAGATTTCTGGGGCTGCCTTGCATAACTAGAGAAAAGAACCAGGTTCGAGTAAATTATTAAGCCAGCTGTCTATATTATGTGCACCACAATTATCGAGTTAACCCAGTGGAAATGAAGAGTCCTTTGAAATTCTGGGTCATAATGCATTCATTAGTGGGTCATGATGAGTGTCATGATGAGCATTTAAAAAATTAAAAGTACATTGTACTCAGGGTAAGTACTGTTCCATTTTTGGTTTGGTTTTGTTTATGAATGAATGTGTGCACTGAGTCACAATGTAAGGGGATACAGCCAAAGTTGGGAAGTCACTGCTTAGTGAACTAGTCCTTTAGAGACAGCAAATGAAGTCATTTACTTGAAATAATGTGTGGTTATTGGCAGGGAGGGCTTTCCATTCCTGTACTTTTTCCCCTGCAAGAGAGAATAGCACAGGTGTCCATCTTTCTATTTCTGTGCCTAGAATGATAATTATCAATGATGTTTCCTAGCAGTATTATAGGTGAAATACTTTTATACATGGATTGGAAAGTTATAAAGTCAAAATTAAACATTTAAATACTTTTTGCCCAAGCTTTTTGTTCTCTTAATAGGTTTCTTAAATGTGAACACCTAAAGGAATTAGGGATAGAGATTTAAGATTAATGGGAGTTTTTTTAATTGTTCTGTAATAGTGACACTATAGCCTTGCTTGATACATGCACTTAACAGATTATATTAAATTTTTATCTGACAATCAAAATATGCTAAAAGCAAACCTATTAACATTTAAGTTATGACAGAAAAAATACAATTTTCTTATTAAACTACAGAATTTCTCTCCAAAGGTACTAAGAATTGGAACTCTTAAGTAGTGCTGCTGATGATACAAAGTTTTGAAAGTTTACAACAGCTTTGTTAAGATTATAATTGTATAGCAAAATCACTTTATTCAAATTGAGAAATTGTTTAAGAGAAGTCCACTGGAGCTTAGAACATTCTATTTAATAAGTCTGATAATGGAAAGTTTATGGTAATCTTTGAACAACCCTTTTGCATCCATGCTGTTTTCATGTATCTTCAGTGGCCTAAAGCTGCAGCTATTCCATAAAGAATACGTAGTGTCCCCGAGAATTTAGTGCCTTTTGTTTGATATAGCACTTTTATACCAGGCACAGGTTTTTGAAGTCTTGCAAGAGCTGTATCATCCCTGCCACCGTCTCCTTTCCAGTCCTTCCCCACACTGATACCAGCTTTTTAGAGCTTAAAAAAAAATAATTCCTGCTTAAAATCCTTCAGGTCTTGATAAAATCTAAACTACAGTTGGCATACAAGAGCCATCACAATCTGTCCTCACTGTCTTCTCAGGCTTTTCTTCCACTTATCCCCTGCATCCTACTTTCAGCCACACTAAACTCATTGTTCCAGGGATCAGCCAAGCCCTTCTGCAGTCTGCCTTTGCTCAAGGTGTTTTGTCTTTGGCCTAACTCCCAGTCATGCTTAGTCAACAGCTGAAATGTCACCTTAACAAAAGCTCTCTCCTAGTTTCCTGTTTCTTCTTAAGGCGTACATTTGATGTGTCCTATAATCCCCGCCATATATTCTTACCTCTATAACAACAGCACTGCATCTGCTTGTTTGCTCCAGGAGGGCAGGGGCTCTTGTCTGACTCACTGAATGTCTTATCCAAAGTGCCTGACACAGTGTACCTATTCATCTGGTGGATGGATGAGGGGAGGGACTGTCTTGATTCTTTTGTGTAGCCTTAGTAACTTATACCTTTCCTAACATACGGCAAGAGCTTCAAAATATCTGTTTCAAAGAATTTATATCTAAAAGAGAAGACTTCTATAAAAATAATTACAAGGTAAAAGTTAACAGAATGGAGGTTGGTAAAAATGACTTCATAAATAGTAATTAATTTACTAATTCATAATTAATAGTAGATTAAAGATAGGTATATTTTTGAAATGTGGTTAAAATTTTTCAGCTTAGAAATGGTGATTTCTCCTGAGCTCTGCCTACTTAGCTAATTGAAAAACAGGTATTCATGATTGCAGCTGATATGCAAGCCTTCACTGTTCTTAACAGGCTATATGCAAAAACGCCTTGAAATTTTATAGCTAAAGTCAACAGCTATCATTTTATATAAGAATAAGGCAGTATAGAAAACTGATTTGGATATACTTTTGGCAACAAAATATTTTCTCTAAATTGGCTGCTGGCAAAATACCAGTTTCTTGTTTCTAGTGTCCTCTTAGATCTCCAAAGAATTAGAAACACTGTCTCCTGACTGAATTTGCAAGCACCAACGTTTCATAAAAATTACAAGTGATTTTTTACTAACCAGAATTTGAATATATTTCTCATCCTATAGGTTTTAAAGCATTCAGTTTTAAAGTCTTTGCCAGCACAAGCATGTTGTTAATGATGGAAAAGAACCTTTCGAATATATTTTTATAGAACAATTCTTTAATTTTTGCCTGCTGAATTTTAACTTAACTATTTACCTTTTAGAAATGACTAATAGGCCGGGCGTGGTGGCTCACGCCTGTAATCCTAGCTCTCTGGGAGGCACAGCCGGGCGGATTGTTTGAGCTCAGGAGTTTGAGACCAGCCTGAGCAAGAGCGAGACCCCATCTCTACTAAAAATAGAAAGAAATTAATTGGACAACTAAAAATAGATAGAAAAAAAATTAGCCGGGCATGGTGGCGCACGCCTGTAGTCCCAGCTACTCGGGAGGCTGAGGCAGAAGGATTGCTTGAGCCCAGGAGTTTGAGGTTGCTGTGAGCTAGGATGACGCCATGGCACTCTAGCCTGGGCAACACAGTGAGACTCTGTCTCAAAAAAAAAAAATGACTAATAAAGATGGTGCAAATGGAAGGAATTATTACAGTCTAAAAGTAACAATCCAATATTAATTTTTATGAATATGTTTTAAGTATGTCCAGTTGTCTGAACTGGTAAATCATTAGATTGATACAGTCTAGATTTAAATTATCTGTGCAAACAAAAGAAACTGGGTTATGTGCCCATTAAAATGATTTAACCAGCTTTTCCTGTTTTGTTACAATATTCCTTATAGCTATTTGATAGTTAGATGGCTAACAGCCCCTCTTTTCACCTGTGCTATAGATTATAATTAAAAAAAGAAAAGATCCTGAGTTACTATTTGCTTAGGAAACAAAATGCTCTGAAGTTCTGCCCCTTTTTTTTTCCAGGTTAGAAAAAGGAAATCCTATCACTTGTCCTTTTGTTCCAAGGCTTAAAGAAATGTGTTGTTTTTTTGGATAAATTCAGGTTGTCAAATCATTTAAAATGCAGGTATTATTAACAAAAAGGTATGCTAAAGCTTCTTGTTATGGAGTAGTAACAGGAAAGTTCCATGAGAACAGAACCTAAACCAGGTAAGATGATTATACCGATAGCTTTCAGATCTTTTCCACTCTCCTACAATATATGACCAATGACCACAATCACATTTATTTCTCACTGCTGAAATGCATCACTTTGAATCAAGAGGATAGGAAAACAAGAGCTGAGATAGAGCAATTCAGGTGCAAATTCCTCCAAGTCACTGCATTAAAAGTCACTGACCTGAAGTTCATTTGGATTTCACAATATGGTAATTCTATCCCTTGAGTTCATTTTTTAAGTGGCATTTGGTGGTTGACTTTAGTGATTTTGAAAATGATGAGAGCAAAAATACTTACATTATATGGCAGGGCTCGTTTCTATCCTTTAAACAGTGCCCATTTTCCCACTTCTTTTTGGTAGGAAATGAAGTTTTTATATATTTTGATCCAGCATGTGTACTTTTGACTCCACACCAAGGTGCGTCTAGAGTTAGGCAAAAGAAAGAAAAGTGTCTTTTAAGGCAGTGGTCCCCAACCTTTTTGGCACCAGGGACCAGTTTCATGGAAGACAACTTTTCCACGGACTGTGTGTGAGGAATAGAAAAACAAGTGAGAGGTTAATGGAAATCAAAGAAAAACAGAAAGGAGAAAGCACTGAATAGAAAAACAATAAGGAGGAAATGGTTGCAGAAAAATAAAGAGGGAAGAGTTATTTCAGTCTTAAAGAATGGGGTAATTAGGCTATGGAACACTGACCACCAGTCAGAGAATGGAAAAAACACCATAAACAGGTTATAGCACTTTCCCCACCATACGTATATTAGAAAGAATGACTGAAACGTAACCTTTAAGTCATGTCCATACCTGGAAAGAATTCAGGCCCCAAAACAATGATGTATAGTTATGAATAGTTGTAACTAACTTTACTAAACCTAACATATAAAAGGAAAAACAGAAGTAGACGGTGTGTTCTCCACTCGAGGAGACAGACCCATTTCTCCTTAGGAAATGCACTTTCACTTTGCACCCTTCAACTTCACCCGCAATAAATTCTTCACGCATGCTTGTTAAGCGTTTGTCATCTCTCTGTGTCACACCGGCCAAGGCTGGTGATTCCTCCAAGCCAGGAGCCCAAGAACTGGGGAAACACTTCAAAGTCCAGCTGTGGACTCAACCGTGACACGGGGGTGGGGATGTGGGGTGTCCTCGGAGGGGGTGAGGGGTGTGGAGCTCAGGCAGTGATGCGTGCCCTGTTTCCTAACAGGCCACAGATGATACCGGGCTACACCCCGGGGGTTGGGGACGCAGTGACTTAAGGGGTTTACCTTTTTAAATTGATTTTTATAAACATTATCAAACTAATTATATAACCTCTAAGTTAAAAGCAATGATTCAGCTCCCCAAATGGCAAATTATATGCAACAGAAAACATTCTAAAAAGAGCACAAAATAAAATCTTGAATTGCATCTTAAATGCTTTCTCTAAGACTTTTATCCCTTTTTTTCTGCTAACATTATTGTTGGTGTATAGCATGCTTTAAAAAAAAAGACCTAAACCTAAAGGAAATAAAATTGTAACATGAAAACATTTAAGTTAAATAAATGTCTATATAGCCTCTACTGAATGTGAAGCAGTGTTTTTGAATACTGTTTTTTAAATAAAGAATTTCAATAGTTTATGCATTTTAAAAGCATTGCACTTTTAATAAAATCATTTCATTTTCACGACCGCTCAAGGAAATAAACTTTTCTCCAGAATGGCTGTCTTGACTTTCCTAAAGTCCACTGTATAAGGAGAACCTTGAGTTACAGGGTTTAGGTAAAAGTTTAGCTTTAAACCTTGTTTTATTTATTTATTTTTTACTCAGAGACGGGGTCTTGCTATGTTGCCTAGGCTGGACTTGAACTCCTGGGCTCAACAGATTGATCCTCCGGCCTCAGCTTCCCAAGTAGCGGGACAACAGGCATGTGCCACCATACCCGGCTCTTTGTTTTAAGAGGCAACAGGTTCTAAAATTCTTATAATAAACCAATTTAAGTTTTTGCACTTTAAAAAGTGCTATGCAATTAAGCCATTATAAAGACACTGCGTAAAAAAAAAATTCTAAATAGAGTTTGAAACCCTGAGGTTTCTTAGAACCCTGAGTTCTTAGTGAAGACTCCTTATTTAATTAAACATTCATAACTACAACCTACTTAGTTATCACATATTCTGACATCCCCTTTTTTAAGTGCTTAGACTTAGCCAAACTTATACAATTAAAAAAAGAATCATCTGCATATTTTTCCATCAGTTGATAACAACCTCCAAGGGTCTTCTGGAAAGTATTATGCTGCCGGAGGTTGAGCATGCCGTTTTATAGAAAATATTTGTTCACTTCAGTAAACTTGATGTCAAATTTCTTTCTCTAGTTTTTTTTTGTTGTGATTTAATAGGAAACTTAAAGTTCTGAAAACAAACTTACCTGTCTCAATCATTAATTTTTCACTAGGTATTGACTTCAAAACTTCCAAATTATCCTCAGTTTTCAGGGAGCTTAAAAAAAGTGTATATATTTATTTTAAAAGGTAACATTTAATGAATAACTTTTTTTCATATCACAAATTTATCTACAACATTACAAAACCAACCCAAAACCCCATAACAAATTTTTTTTTCAGTATACTTTAGAAAGTATTAATATTTGCACACTCCCATTCTTCATAGAATCCAGAGTAAGATCTGTTTTAACCAGGTCTGCCTTTAGGGGCTATAATTCTTTATACTTACCAGTTGGCTCTCAATAGCTTTATGTATTATTCTAAGTAAAATTTAACTTTTTTAAAGAATTCATTTGCTTCTCTTGAGTAATTTGTGTAACTTAAGAGGCGCTCATAAGATTGTTAATTTTCATTTTCTTAACTTTCCATTTTCAGCCCCCGAGACAGACTGGATTACCGCTCCTAATTCTTCACTGTCCTCCAATAGAATCATCTATCTGTGTGCCCTTGCCATGGTTTCTTATTAGGAAGGATGACTCTACTTGAATCTGGCCTTGGACTCAAGACTTGGTCTGGCCAATGGGATAACATGACCATAGGCTGGAAAGGTACTTTAGTGGTCTGGATGGCACCCTGGTGATCTTAGAGTAGCAAGCAGGGAGTAGTTAAATGGCCTGCATTTAAATGCTAAGTGACCTAAATGTTCCTGAAGAGAAAACACAGCAGAAAAGAAAAACCAATTCACCTAAGAAAGTCCGAGGAACTAGGTACAGTACCTAGAAAGCTGGTGGGATAAGGCACAGGACTGAAATGGGGATTGTCTGAAAATCTTGTAAAGAGAAAGCAGGGTTCCCAAGTTATGTACCTATGACCTGGTACAGAGAGAGGAGTGTAGGGTCTCCAGAGAACCCCAAATTAGAGACACTGGGCTGGGGAATAAGCGCGGAGGAGCAATGGGGGACGGCGTGGGACTGAAGCTGGAGACTGGGACTGCCCCCTGAACAGTGCTCCAGAACACTGTCAGGTACTTTTATAAATTCCCCACTCCACTTTCCCAGCAGGGATCAGAGGATGCCTTTCAGGAGCAACTGAAGCAATCCAGAAAAAGATCTCTACAAAACGACATTTGGGAATCCCTAGTGAAAATGCCACTTAGCCATCTGAGCCTGCCAGTTGCTGTACTGTCCCACAGCTTCCAAAAGGGTTTTAAAAAAACAGACAGTGAAGAACTGCGTGACATTTGAAGCAAGTCTCCATCACGACAGAGACCAAAATAACGAGGAAAAAAGACTGAGGAAATAAAAGCAATAAGGCAAACAGAAAATAACTCTAAAGTATAATTCACATCTTTAGAGAGATGAGAAGACACTGCATCTGTCAAAGAAGATTATGGCATAAATAAGACAGCTTTCAGAGATTGGAAAAAAAAAAAGCTGAAGTCAGTTTCATTTAAAACGTTGAAAACTACAGCACTTTTTTGGAAGGAGGAAAAAATTAGAGATAGGAAGAGCAGAATGAAAACAAGAATACCAGAGTAATCAGTGTGGGATGTCGAAAGAAAGAACAGAAAACCAAACCAAAAAAAAATCAAGAAAATTCCCAAGGACTGACAAAGATGAGCTTCCAGGTGGAAAGGGCCAGTAAGAGAGGAGAATGACCAAAAAACCCATCAAAACACATCTTTGTGAAGTTTTACAAAACCAGAGATAACTAAAACCTTCCACAGAAGAAATAGTAGGTCAGAGGGAAAGGATTGGGAATCAGAATAGCAATAAACATTTCATCAACGCTGAAACCTATTAATAGGACAGCGTAAATTCTCAGTGCAAATGATTTTTTATTATTGTTTTCTGTAGAGATTGGGGTCTTGCTATGTTGCCCAGGCTGGAGTGCAGTGGTTATTTCCAGGTGTGATCATAGCACACTGTATCCTCAAACTCCTGGGCTCAATCGATCCTCCAGTATCAGGCTCCTAAGTGGCTGAAACTACATGTATGCCCAGAAAATGATCTCTAATCTAGAATTTTATGCTGAGAAAAGCTATCAACCAAAAGTGGGTCTCCCCTGCCCACTTGTATTAACTATGCAGGCAAACTTTTAAGAGGAGGAGTAGAGTGAATTCATTTTCAAACACGCAAAATTCCAAAAAATTTACTTCCCATGAAAACTTTCTCAATAGGATATTAGAGAATGTGTTCCACCAAAATAAACAAAGAATACATAGAATCTAAAAATACGAATTCTATCACAGAAGAGACACTAGTCCAACTGAAACAGAAAGATGGAAAGTCTAGAACTAACGAAATATTATGTAGATAGGTTTGCGCATGTGGAAAAACAGATAAAGGCATTTCATAGAGCTGTGGAAAGTGAGAGAGGGCTTCAAGTTTTGAAGAAAGCCAAGTAAATAAAAATATGAAGTAAATTAGGAAAACAAAAAGTAATACAAGAAAAGAATTGCAAGCAGGGTATATCACACAGCTCAGCAGTCAACAATATTTATAGAGACATAATGAAAATATTGAATATGCATATAACCAAAAATTCTTAACTACATTGAGGGGAATATGGAAGGAATAATGGAGGTGGGGGATGATGAGAACAGACAAGGGGATGAATCAAGAGATAACAGTATATGCATATTATTTAGAAATATGACTACAAATAGCAAAGTGATTGCCTCTGGAAAAGTTGACTTAGGGTAGGGGCTCACTGGGGGGACTCTGATATTTGTTTATAAATCTTTTAGTACTACTTGAATTTTTAATCCCTGTGCATGTATTCTTTCTCACATTAATTCATAAATTAATCAAATCATTAATTTAAATATGAAAGAAGCATTAGGACATTTAAACTCTGAACTCTATAGCAAATAAGTAATTCCATGATTCTGTCTCCCTAAGATTTTAGTCAAAAATAATGTAATCAGAAAACTGATAATCTTAAGGGATTGAAACACTAAAGAGGGAAAGTAAGTCTTACACTATTTTGCAATTTATTTAATGAGCTACACTGACATCCTGTGAAAAGACACTGGTGGAAATTCTTATCTATTTGACAGAACAAGCCCAGGACCTAGCTATGCTAGCTGACTGTACGGAGTGTATTAGGTTTAGTGTGGTATTACAGCAGAAAGGTCACCGAGGGAGGAGCAAGAGGACGCAGGTTCTCAGACTTGGAGAAACTCTATACCTGTTTAACTTCTTTGAGCTTTGGTTTCTTGGTTTATTGTTATAGAACAAACTCTCCCACAGTCAAACATGACGTGTGTATGTATATAATGCTGTGAACACATGTTTTAAAGGGATCAAATGACCTGAAAATGAATTGGATTGCTACAGAAAGCGAACTGCTGATCTCAACACAAAATTGTTTTCCATTATTAGAACACAGGGTAATAGTCATACTTTCAAAGTTTAACTTGTAATAGTAATGTACTGTTTAATTTCTTAGGTAAATAATTACTGTAATTCCCAGGCAAAGATCAATGCAAAACACACACAAACTTTAATAAAAATAAAATTTTGTCAGCAATTCACTGTAAAACAATTTAAGAAATCTGCTTAAGTAAAAGTTGAAAATAAAAACAAAAACAACCAAGAACGTACCAACCATTAAACCCTATGTAAAGATCCAAGTCAATCAAAGCAGCTGCTGCTTCCTTGGTACCATCAAATGAATGCACCTACAGACACACAGGTATAATTTTATTATTATAATAATTACTCTTTAAAATCTAAGTAGCATTAATAAGACTTTCTAAGCAGAAATATACATGCATGTAAGGGTTTCTGGACCACAGAGTTTCAAATGTGGTGGCCTTTACAAATTTTATTTTCAAATCAGATTTTACCTGTTTATAATTTGTCATCTCTAATTATATAAGGCATGGAGTTAGCTGCCTGGAATTTCCCCCTTTACAGTTTGATGTCTCTGCACTAATACTACTGCAGGACCTCCAGGAAGGGGGACAGGAGTAGGGAGCCATATTCTTAGGCAAAAGCATGAGGAAAGGTTAGAAATGTTATAGCACCATTTAAAATACATTTTCAAATATCCTTGAATTTTTCTGTTAAAAGATATCTTTTTCTAGAAGAGAAATGACTGTTAAGAGGCAAGTTTTAAGAAGCTCTATAAAGAGGTGAGAACATTGCTCAAAAGTATAAACTGTTACATAATCAATAATATCAGCTCAGCAGGCAAAAAGGATTGAGATGATGTTTTTCTTCTTCACAGACACAGGGGTTAAGGCAGAGTTTATACTTGGGATGTATTTATGTAATCAAAAACAACAAATAATAACACTCCTTTAAAAAGTAAGCTCACCTAACAAGTGATGTCACATTACTATTGAGTCCAGAGAGTCTGGACACACTATAGGTAACATATTTCTCAACAATAAAGAAATGTGCATTACATAGCTGCCTGTACAGGGTTTGTTTATTCTTTCCCTTGGCATTTCCAGGTGACTACAAAAGACAGCCTCCATTAATATCAACATAATTTTAAATGTGACTCCTCATAAACCATTCCAGAAAATTAGTTTGTTTTTTTTTTTGAGACAGAGTCTCACTCTGTTGCCCGGGCTAGAGTGCCGTGGCGTCAGCCTACCTCACAGCAACCTCAAACTCCTGGGCTCAAGCAATCCCTCTGCTTCAGCCTTCCGAGTAGCTGGGACTACAGGCATGTGCCACCATGCCCGGCTAACTTTTTCTGTATATATTTTTAGTTGTCCAGCTAACTTCTTTCTATTTTTTTAGTAGAGACAGAATCTCTCTCAGGCTGGTCTCGAACTCCTGAGCTCAAACGATCCACCCGCCTTGGCCTCCCAGAGTGCTAGGATTACAGGCATGGGCCACCACGCTCGGCCAGAAAATTAGTTATTAATTCTTTGTTTGGCAATTTCTTTTTGGAAAAAAATTCAAAAATTAAGTTGGGTTTGTTGTTGCTCTTGTTAATTTTTTAAAACTAATAGAATCACCCAAGTAAATTCTTACTTAGAAATCACACAAATGGTCAAGAGATAAGAGTTTGAAGGTTATGGTAAATGCCACCAGTAATCCCAAGGGCATTAATTAAAATTTCTCTCAATTCCCAAGTACAGTTTCTAAAGGATAAATTAGAGTCAGCAAACTACAGAAAAAATGTATACAGTAATATTAACATCACAGCACTGCAGAATGCACACATATTACTAGTATGAGGCATGAAACATGAGGCAGAGGCCATATAAAACTGTCAAAGCAAGGCAGTATGGGTATACAGTAAGTACTCAGTGCTATTTCCTCCTTCCTCAGTTGGCATAGTGTAACTGGGATTTTATATACCTGGATGTCAGCTTTCCTGAAATTGCATATGAAAATTTGTATATCTGAGCATTTTTCCTAAGGCAGATTCTCAAAGGGTCCATGATCCAAGAAATTAAAAATCACTGCTATAGATAACCTGAGTTAAGTGGTGGGTAGATAATATTTATAGGAAATGTCTCAACAATAATGATCAAAATGACCATATGGGAGAAGTGTTTAGAGCAGAATGCAAATTACAGAGAGGAGAATGAGTCTCTAGATCTAAGTGCTAATAGTAAATGAATACAGCTGACAAGAAATTAGGAGGGCAAACCTGAAATAAATGGTAAAATATTTTAAAATATTATAAAAGTTTATATTTTGTTCCAAATTTAGACTGAATAACAGTTAAGAATGGCTAGTGGAAGACACAGAGAAAAAAATATTATGTACAGTATTAGAATGCACAGAAGTAAATTCACGGGGTTTTCTGCATAGAATTCTGTACTTACTCTCATACTTTGAACAAAGGAACTAAAATTAAAACTACGATTTATGTTTATACCATATCTGGCCCATAAATTCAAGAGTAAATTTCCATATCCTTCAAATAATGGGAAAAGAAGCTTAATAACTTTATTGTGAATGTTTGAATTGGAGGCCAACCTTAATAACCAAGATGCTTTTATGTCTCACATAAAGATCACGTATCCTTTATCCAAAATGCCTGGAACCAGAAGTGCTTCAGATTTTGTATTTTTTTTCTTGAAATTTGCAATATTTGTGTATACTAATGAGATATCTTGGGGATGGGACCCAAGTCTAAACATGAAGTTCATTTATGTTTTGTCTATACCTTATAAACATAGGCTGAAGGTAATTTTATATAATATTCTAAATAATTTTGTGCATGAAACAAAGTTTATGTACACTGAACCATCAGAAACCAAAGGTGTCACCAACTCATGTCAGTGCTCAAAAAGTTTCAAATTTTGGAACCTTTGGGACTTAGAAGAGCATTTTGGATTTTGGAATTTTTGCATTAGGGATGATGAACCTGTATTAAAAACAACTATTTTATACTTACCACTCCCCCTACAAACCGATCTCTATTTCTTTTCATTATGTCTGTGAATTAAAATTAGAAAACTTTTAGCAAATAGCTTGACTTCTAAAAAATTCTTAAATTCTAAGTGAGAGTTTAATTTTAACTCACCCAAAAATTCAGCATGTGAGTTTCGACAATGAAGAAACATTGGTAATTTCGTTTGTTCTGACAATTCAAACTGTTTTTCAAAGTATCTGCATGAAGCAAAAAAATCTCCTTGTTAAAAATTTTAAGCATGAGAAAGATAATTATGTCAAGTGATTTTTTTAATTAAAGGAGTTTTATTTTCTAGAAATTACAGAATGGAAATAGTGAATTCAGACATTTAAAACACTTCAGGCTTAGCAGAGGGTTTTTATTAGCATGCAATTTCTGGAAAGGGATATTTCATTTTCTGGGCTTACAAAATTATTTTGAGGAAAACAAGCTGCTGGCTCCTTGCTGCTCAAGCTTGCTGAGCACCATCAGTGGGAAGCAACTCACTTAGTGAGAAGCCAGGCAGAGCTTCATACTGAGTGTTCTTCTATTCCATTTTGTAACCAGATTTTTTTATGTGCTGTTATTAAAAAAAAAAATTACTGCCACTGAGCCAAAAGAACAAGGATTCCCTTAAAAATGAAATCTAAGTATTTGCTAAATAGCACAAAACTGAATTACACTGTTTTTTGAAAAATGAAAATTGCATGCTAAAGTGATAGCCCTGATTATTGTAGAGTACCGTATAAAAAGGTTTTTCCAGGTGCCACATACCATTATCTCATTTGACCTTCAAAATAACCCTTGGACAGCTGGGCATGGTGGCATGGTGCCTGTAGTCCCAGCAACTTGGGAGGCTGAGGTGGGAGGACTGGATAGCTTAAACCCAGAATTTTGAGACCAGCCTGGGCAACATAGACCGCATCGCAAAAATAAAATAAAGACTACAATATAATACAATACAATAAAAATAACCCTAGGGCAAGAGAGGTGTAGTACTTCATTCAAGATCACAACACAAGATGTGGCAAACTTGGAATCAGAACTTCAGTGCTCTAATTCCAAGTCCCAGCCCAAATGACCTAAAACAGTTACATTTTTAAGAAGCTTCTTCCTGTTCCCAGACAATATCCAGAGGAAATAATAAGTGGGGTGTTGTATTTGTTTTTTCATTTCAACACAATGCTCCCCTTGCTCTCATTAATGGCCACACAGGACGACAGTTGGCTTATTATTTTTTTAAATGGATTTATGTCTCCTAGGTCTTTTAATTTTGGGGAACAATTTCTCTGTGTTTAATTAAACTTCTTTTGCTGTATTTTCCTATATTTTGTCTCCTGACGTGCAGGACTATTTTCCTGGAGTACCCCTTTGCACTCTTGAAAATGCCAAATTTTAAAATTAGAAATATACTTCTTAAAGAAATAGTCTTCCTACAATTGGTGGCCTGTCTTTATTACCCAATGTTTGAGCCTTTAATCACCTTTTCAGATTTTGCTGGGTCGGAATAAGCAAAAATATTGTTTTAGTTAACGAAGTGCTGAAATTTTGCAGTGTAGGAAATATCTATAAAAACTTGGAGAAAAAAAGATTTTAAGAATTATTACTAGTCACTATTTCCATAAGCTCTAAAGTAATCCAAATGTCAGCCACTATTTAAATGTGCTCTAGCCATTACATAAACTTTCCTATATATTTGGCTTCTGGCTACACACAGCAGACAGTACTCTCCACTTTGTGTTCACTGCTTTATACAGTGCTGGTAATTTTTTCCACATACAATTCCATGGACCAAGCCACATGACCAAGCTACAAATTTACAGAATCTAATGGTCAGTTTGGAAATTAGCTTCCTATCCCAGGGTAGGCAAAAGTATAATTTATGAAAATAACAGAAGCCTGCGCAATGTGCTCACAGAATTTTACATAATTTGAGGGGGGATAAAAGGTACCTAAGTTCAAGCTAGCTAGGTATCATAAGGAAGCCATGAGGCAAAATGATACAAATTGATAATGATACAAATTGAGGCTAACTGGTACTTAACACCAAATGACTACTATCCTTAAAGAAGAAAAAGCTACCATGGTAACTAGAAATAACAACAAAAGTTATAGGGCAGGAAATGGCATCTATTAAGAGACTTCTCTGCCTGTTTCACTTATAATTTTTTTTAGGTTTATTAATGAAAATCATTATTTACTTAAGTTAGAGTTGCTCATCTTAGTGAAGGTGTCATTTGCTTCTGATTGTATTACTGCTTTTTACAGTTTAGCATTAACACTACCTAAGGAGAAGAGCTTGAAAAATTCAACTTCAGAGTAGCAGTTATTAATTAGGATTAAAGTGAATCCAAAAAGCCCAGTGAGTTACACTAGTATACCTTAACACAAGGTTCCCTCCTCTCTAAGCTGGATGATGGCAAGGATGGCCTCAAACTCTCATCTTTAGGGTCCTCCAAATCCTCAAATGATTATTTTGAAAGTTTGTCTTTTTTATTTTTCTTCTTAAAGACCTGCACAGTATTAACATTTTAAAGACCCCAAGAAAAATGCCCAAAGCAAATTCCTCCTTACCCAAGAGAACAAAGCTCTAAATTGCAGCAAGGAAAGGAGGGTAGCATAAGGCAGAGAATTGAAAATACAGAGTACGGTTTAAAGGATAAACTTTCCATAACTAAATTAGGCCTTTCCTTGTTTTAATTCTTTGCTTTGCTTTCTTGTTCTTTAAAAAATACTTTTGAAAAATCCCAGACAATAACTATAGCTGGTATTTTCCCTTAGGATGGTAATATTTCTGGAAAGAATAATTTAACAATGGCTATGATTTTATGAGTACTTACTCTGTGCTACGATGGGCTTTATATACCATATGTTAAGGAAGATAGACATCATATCCCCATTTTAGAGATGAGGAAATTGAGATGTACAAAGGGATAGACAGCCACCAATGGCAGTTATAAATCACACCCAAAGACCTGTTGATGCCAATAACCATACTTTTAACACTATGTTACATACTGCTTTTACTTACCATAATTTTTCAGATACTACATCTATTCTACATTAATTTTTCTGTCTTGTCTCCTAATCCATTGTACTATTTTCTATTTTTCTTTTCTTATACATCTTTTTCCTGACTACATCTTTACTTAAAACCAAAAACAACAAATCATACACTGGTTAATTGCTTCAGATGGTATAATGCAAAGACCAAAATCTGAATTCTCCCAAGAATAAGCCCAATAGTGAAAGCTGAATTGTAGGCTTTTTTGTCCATGCTGCTCTGTAGAAATCAGAAAAGAATCCTCCCTCCTTGTTAAACATTCAACAAACATTTACTAAGCACTTGCCATATGCTGAGAGTGCTGTGCTAAGTGCTATGGGAACTACGACATGAGTAAGACTTGGTGGGCCTTTGAAGAACTCAAAGACACTAGTCTGTTGTGGGAAGGGAAGGATAACTTACACACATTTTCAGTATGATGTGATAAGCACTGAAACAAGCACACAGAGCTGTGTACACACAGAAGAGGGGTTGCACGCTGTTAGTACATGCTAATGGAAAGGGAGGGAGTGAGGGGTGGAGGATGTGTGTGTTTCTTTAACAACAATCCAAATGGGATTATTACTGGTGTGTCTTTTTCTTACCTACTAGGTCATTCAATGTTTTATTATTAAAAATAAAAAAATCTCAAGTAGAACTGCTTATCTTACCAAAACTTTCAACCCACTTTAGTTTGTTTTTAGCTTATCCTTTCTGGAAGAAGCCCACATCACATGCTGTCACCTTAGAGAACCCTTCCCTGACTCCTCCAGAAAGTTAGTCCTTTCTCCTGCTGTCTACACACCTTTGTGACAGCACTTCCAACCTATTTTAATTATTTATGTCCTCTCTTGTCTACAAAAGCATAAGACCGAAGTCTTATCCTTCTTTGTATCATACTGAGACACTTAGTAATCACTTACTGAATGAACTGAGTTAGAACTCTCTATTACTGATTGATACTAGCACAATTGGCATGCGTGTTAAAGCATAACCTTCTATACATATTGTTTCAAGTTCTGATCTTGCGCTGATGATGGTGAAGTATCACCAGAACAGTAAAGTAGAACAGATAAATAACATCAGTGTTTTCATTTAATCCCCAAATTGAGTTTGAAGTATTTAGGCTGCATTTTAACATCAGTTTTAACTCATTTTCGATGAAAAGTCACACGGGCAAGAAAACTTGGGGGACTCTGTGACTGCTCTTGCTTATCATACACATAGTCTGTTTGGCTTACAAGGCTCATCCTGGCCGAAAAAAAGATCATGAAAGTTGAGGAACAATGATCTGTGGGGCTGAACCTAAGAAACTATTAAAGACAACCGTTTTTCTGTTTCAATGTGAACATGTGAGCTTCTAAGGTTAAGTGAGCTGACCTACATGATATTCAAGAGAGGTACAGGCCTGTAGTAACCCTGCTGGTCACCACATGAATGTCCCTGAAACACACAGCAAATGATATACCACAAATTAAACAGTTCTGAAAGGGTTACATAAATGAAAGACCTGAAAGAAAGAGTATGTGTCCACAGAACATTACTCCAACCCATCCCATTCCACTTGGTTATAGACCTTCACATTCTGGGAATTCTGGAGCTTCAAGTTTAGGGTGTGACAGACTCCACTAGTAAATCTGCTCCTCACTATGGTGATTTTCAATTAAGGCAGACATATCAGAATACAATCTGCAGGGGAGCAGGGGATGGAGGGGGGAGGAAATATACTTTTGGCATTTGTAATTTGAAGAATCCCTTCATGCCATCAAGTCACTGGATTAATCATATGATCATATCACCATATGACAAAAATTATTAATTATTAAATATCATGATAGAGCTGAATGGTATCTTAGAGAATCTGGCCCTAGTCCTCCTTTGTGTATAAGAAACAAAGGGAAACAGAGGGTTGTTTATTCTTAGAAGTCTCTAGGGACAGAAATTGTACCTTATTCATACTTTTGTATGAGTTCCCAGCAATTGCTGGCACATAGTACTCCATAAATATTTGTCGAATAACTAAATCAACCTCGTTTAGAAGCTCAGTCTAATATTTTATCATCTTGATAATTATGTTTTTGAAATTTAACAAAATGCTCATGTTTTAAATTAAGATTTTGACCTACTTTTTCTTTTCAACCTATAACACTGACCTGCCAGTATGATGATAGGAGCTCCAACTTCAGCTACAGGCAATGGGTTGTAGCAAGTCCTGGAGGCTTATGAGCTTTGGAGTTTTCTCAGGTGCCACCACTCTTAACGTGGCTCCTCTTAAAGGATTCTCACAGTTCCAAACTAACCACATCCAATGCCCAGCAAAAGTAAAATACAATTTTCTAGCTTTGGTGATTGATCCTATATTCCATTTTTAATATCTCTTGCTCTTAAATCACATCCCCCATAACAATTTAATTCATTCCACTGGAATCGTTCATGTATAAGTGCACTTGTGTGGCAATCCTCCTCCTTCATCCTCCCAAGTCCAAGTAGCTGGGACTACAAGTATGTGCCACCACATTCAGCTAATTTTTCTCATTTTTTATAGAGACAGGGTCTCACTATGTTGCCCAGGCTTGTCTCAAACTCCTGGCCTCAAGTGATCCTCCCACCTTGGCCTCCCAAAGTGCTGGGATTACAGGCATGAGCCACCGCACCTGGTCTGCATTTATTAAACAATAAACACCAAGAAAAGGGTCTCTATCATGTAAAACTCATCCGTTATTTCTAACATTAAAATCAAATTAAATGGTTACTCAATCAGGGAACTATGTACTTCCATTCCTTATGAATTACATGCAAGTATGCATGGACTGTTTCACTTAACTTTTCCTATACAAAGGGGAAAAACAAAAACATCCTGATGCTTAATCCAACTACATTCTTTTTTTTTTTTTTTTTTTTTTGAGACAGAGTCTCGCTGTGTTGCCCGGGCTAGAGTGCCGTGGCATCATCTTAGCTC